GGGGGTTGGTTGGGGAGTTGGGGGGGAACGACATGTTCTGGTGTTTACATTTTTTTATAACCCCTTTGCGACCAGCGACGTCCAGTGTATGGCATCGGGGCTTTTGCCGCCGGGACTCTGTTTAGACTTGTAAAGCCGGCTGTCGGCTTTACAGTAGAAGCGATTCTGGCGGCTCAGCTGCCGCCAGATCGCTTCTACAGGCTGGTAAATTACCCGACACCCCCGCCGTGTTTCCCGGGCTCTGTTGTCCCCTCCTACGGGCCCGGGACCGGCTTCTCTGGTGTCGGCGGGGAGCTGGGGAGGAAATGGACGAACCTCCGTTCACCGATCCCCTCCCTGTTCTATGAGACCGGATTGCATCACTTCCGGCCCCTGAGCTGTCATTGGTCGGATCCTGAAGCCTGCGATCTGCACCCCAATAGCTTATATAGAGTGTAAAGGTGACACTGGTGGTCTTTTGGCCCCCCCGCCATCACCTTAAAGAGGACCTGTCACCACCATCTGCTATCACATGGGGAGCTTGTAAGCTTGTAAGCCCCTCCCCTATGTGATAAGAATTAAAGTAAAGTAAGAAGAAAAAAAAAAACAGTTTTTAAAATTATCATTAAATAAAATAAATGTAAAAAAAAATTGTAAAAAAATGTTTAAAGTCCCCCGCCCCCGCAAGCACGCGCGTCTTCACGTAAACACGCGTCGGGTGTGCCTACATATGAAAACGACGAACGCGCTACACATGTTGGGTATCGCCGCGCACGCCGGAGTGAGAGCAATAATTCTAAGGCCAATATTTACACGTATCTCTGAATTGATGACCTGTGGGGAGGCTTTTAAAGCGTCGTCTATGGACTTTTTGTGGTACTGAAGCTTGTCGCCATTTCACAGACGCACACAAGTTTCACCCCGGGCACGTCGGGTATCTATTTACTCGTTGTCACCTCGTCTTTTATATTTTATTCACAAAAATGGGTATTTTATTGTGTTTTGGGGCATTTAGGTGCATTTTTCACTAAATGTTGGGGTTTGATAAGGAGTTGCGCTAATATCGTGCAACATCGAAATTTGCAACTGCCGCCATTTTATTCCACAGGGTCTCGGCTTTCAGAAAATATATCACGTTTGGGGGGTTTTTGAGTAATTTCAGGCCTAAAATGTGAAATATAACACGGGTGCAAAAAAATTAAATAAAAGGTCATGAAGGGTTAAGAGACAGAATAATAGCCGGTGAGAGCTTCTGGTCTCCGGGTGGTTCTAAGCTATGGAGGAGCAATGGCGCCACCCCTGGACAGAAGCGTTGTCACCCTGTGGGGAGGGCGGGGTTAGATGCTCTAGCAGATTTAGATGGGCGTGACTAACAAATTAAATCTGAACTCCGGATAACACTTTTTAAGCAGTTGTAGATACATTGTTGTTTCTCTTTTTGGGATAAAGGTTGACCATTGGTCAAATGCAGGGGCGTAACTAGAAATCACAGGGCCCCATAGCAAAATGTTGTATGGGGCCCCCCGTGATTTCTAGTTATACCCCTTGCAGAGCCCACTCGAGATCCCACCTGAGGGTGAACTTGCAGAGCCCACCATAGACTCTCTATGGTGGGCTCTGCAGGGTCACCCTCAGGTGGTCGCACTCCTTACCTGTCCGCCTCCTCTTCTTCCACGGTTGCTGATGGGCCCCGCCTCCTCCTCCGTCGCCTGGCCTGCCTCCTTCTTCATCACCGGGCCCCGCCTCCTCCCCCGCTGCCGACCACAGGGCCCCGCCTCCTCCTCCACAGCCGCTGCTGGCTCTCATTGACTCTGTGGAGAGGAACGCGCTGCGGCACAGGTTACTGTCAGCGATCTGAACAGCGTCGAGTTCATCTTCAGCCGCCAGTGAAAGCCGCCAGCAGAGGATCCCAGGCGGCCCGCACGGCATCTGGCTGAGCCCCACTGTGCCCCCCGGGCCCCATAGCGGCCGCCTGATTGTTACTCCACTAGTCAAATTATTTAGTCCCAACCCTCTATCTGCCTGCTAAAGGAAACTGAAAAATAACACTTACTGGTGAAAATAAAGGGGGGAAAAGGCTTAATAAAGGATTGGTAGGCAGCAAGAAAGGACATATTTGGGTTTAGATACACTGTATTGGAAAATGTAAAGAACGTTCCCAAAAGTTGTTTTTTTTTACTAAATTCTGTTGGTGGTCTGGTCAGCTTTGGTGCAGTTCTCCCGTATTGTGTCTTGCTGGTTGTTGTTCTTTTTTGTTTTAATTTTTGCTGCTGGGTTGCTTTGTTCCTTTTCACTGTCCACAGCAGGTGTCTGCCTGCGGCTCCTCGTACTCCCCTCATTAGTCACCTCCTGCACTGTGCCTGGGGGGGGGGAGACTTTACATCACTGATGTTCCTCAGGCAGGTCCTCAAATTGGTTGGCTGGCTGGTCTCCGTCTGCTTGTGTTCTGACAATGTACTCTGGCATCTCTGCATCCCATAGTCCTGTTTAGTATTTCTTGCCCAGTGTAATAGTCCTAGAATATATGTAAATCCATTGAGCCAACCCAATACTGAACCCTACAGACTAAGACTGGGGGGCCATTAGAGGGCAGAGCCAACCCAATACTGAACCCTACGGACTAAGACTGGGATGCCATTAGAGGGCGGAGCCAACCCAATACTGAACCCTACGGACTAAGACTGAGGGGCCATTAGAGGGCAGAGCCAACCCAATACTGAACCCTACGGACTAAGACTGAAGGGCCATTAGAGTTCATGTGCGTGTAAATTTTGGTAATATAGTGTATGTGTGTGTGGATATACACTGTATACACTCTGCTCTATACAATTATTTGTAGTCTGGTGTTCTCTGTGGGCCGGCCAATAGTAAGTAGTTTTCAGTCAGTGTAAACCTTCTTCTGTTCAATATTTTAAAGCTGAATTTTAGGAGTAAAAAAAAAAATACCCCTGCAGTGCAATGCAAGCCGATTGGGAACACAACCCAGGAATATGGCAAGTTGGGTTCACCGCTGTCAGCTGTCTGGTTGGTGGGTAACTTTGGCTGAATTATCGTTTTTTGGGTGGACGGAGACTTTTAGGTTTTGCCTGTGCAGATGTGATGCGTTTTCACCTATAACAGCTTGTTGACATCCAATTCCAGAACCCATGGGCATTAATATAAAGTTGGTTCCCCTTTGTGGTTATAACAGCTCCCCTCTTCGGGCAAAGCTTTCCACAAGATTTGGGCAAGGTGCCTGTAGGAATTTGTGTCCATTCAGCCATTTGTAAGGTCAGTGTCACGATCTGGGATCAGGCTCGGAGTCCAGTAGCTGAAGCAGCAGGCAATGGTGGTATAACCGGCCGGGTTCGGTACACAAGCAGACGGTAGTAGTGGAGGAGCAGCAGAAGCTAGGGTTGCCACCTGTCCAGGATTCATCCGGACAGTCCGGGTTTTGAATGCTGTGTCCGGGTTTCATGGCAGCAGAAACCCGGACACAGGATGTCAGGCAGACGGGGGCAACCAAAGTTAAGATAAGGGCTACTGGAAATAGTCTCAACTGTGATATTTACATATGAATGGGCGGCGCTATTACATATGAGTAAGCCACAACTCATTCTCCCCCCAAAAATGTCAGCGCGTTGCTTGAGTGTTCGGGTTTCACTTAAAGAAAAGGTGGCAACCCTAGAAGAAGCGTAGTCAGAGAACAAGCCGAGGTCAGGAGCCAAAGGTATCAGGTATGTAGCAGAAGACGATGAGAGTAGTCGGTGAATCAGCAGCCAAAGGTCCGTACACGGGAAGCAGTATGAGCGGATTGTATCACAGAGGGAGCAGGAAGCAAGATATTGGCAGGAGCACAATAATCTGGCAAACAGGAAGTGCAGAGGCGTGGCTTAAATAGGAAGTTTAAGGGTGGAGCAAGGAGTTCAGCAGAGATTAGGTATAACTGAGGATTACACAGGAGATCAGGCGAGGAGCTATCCAAGGTTCTAAGGTGGCTCAGCAGGTAGAACCACCGCCAGCTACAGCAGAGGTCCCGGGTCCAGATGGGGTTCCTCACAGTCAGGTTCCAATGTTGGTTGAGAAGACCTCGCTCGCAATTGCCACTCCAATTCATCCCAAAGGTGTTCAGTAGGGATGAGGTCAGGGCTCTGTGATGGCCACTCAAGATCCTCAACACCAAACTCCTTAAACCGTGTCTTTATGGAGCTGGCTCTGTACACAGGGGGACAGTCATGGTGGAACAGAAAAGGGCCTTCACCAGACTGTCACCACATGGTTGGAAGTGCATATTGGTCTACAATGTCTCTGTGTGATGTTTATTTGCAGCACCCTTCACTGGAAACACCTTGATATAATAATTTGAAGGTCTGTCTACATACTTGTGATGGTCAGATGTCTATAAATTGAGGCCACATATGGTATTTGTACATGGTTCTGCATCTGTCTCAGGTTTGGCCTCAGTTTGTGGGGAGATGTAGCAGACCGCCGGCACCGGAGTAACTGTGTCATGGCCGGGTAGAAATACGGATGCCAATTTGTATTTGTTTTTGTTTTTTTCTTGTACCAGGTGTACCAACATGCTAAACGCTGCCGGTGATCTCCGCACTTTTCGACCCAGAGACCGCGACGAGATGGTAAAGAAGGTCATCGAGCCAATGGCGTGCGACGGGCTGCGTACCATCTGCGTTGCCTACCGGGACTTCCAAGGCATACCCGAGCCGGAATGGGAAAACGAGCACGAGATAGTGGGGGACTTGACTTGTATTGCTGTGGTCGGAATAGAAGACCCCGTCAGGCCGGAGGTGGGCATGCTCTCCACTTCATAAATGTGTGATCAGTTAAAGTGGACTTGTCGCCTGCACAGTGGCGTAACAACCGG